CGGGGGGGGGGGTGGGTGGCAAAAAAGCCAGAGCCGGCCCTGTGCCCTGCAGCCTTCTTATAGGGCCCAGCCAGGCCCTGATAGGCTGCTTTCAAGCCTCCACTTGATTGGCTCCCAATAAGCCCTTCCATGACTGCTTGGGGCTCTGTGATGCCTCTCTGGCTTGCTCCAACTCCTTTCATGCCAGAGTGGGGCAGCTGCCCCACTACACCCCCATAATACCATAAGTGGTATGAAATTTAGGGTATCAATGTACAGTAGTTGCACTGAGGGCAAAAAAGCTTATCCTAAATTTGTGGATATCAAATGCTCTCATAACTCAAAAGCTGAAAGTTGGCTTGTTGTCTCTCATGTCTAATACCTGGAAACCTGAATTAATTAATTATTTTAAGCTTGTGAAGATGACAGACTATCCACAAGGATAATACCACAAACTTTGTGCAATATAGTTAACTTATTTAGATTACCTTAACCTTAATGAATAGACTGGACCCATGTTCTTTCCACAAAACTAGGACTATCCCATTTCTAACTGTATGTCTAGAGTGACTAATATAAAAACACATCCAAGATGGGACACATACTTTATATCTGCCATAGGGATGGCAAGTGCACAAATAAAACCTGTAGCTTTTATGCTCGTGAAATCCTGTTCCTGGCCCTATCAAACCTCACTGTTTTCCCTTATAAATCCTGTACCCTTTCTGGTTCCCCCAAATGCTTGAGAGAGAAGTGGGAACTTGGACCAAGAAGTCTGTGGTATCAGCTCAGGTAATGCTCGTGCAGTGAATTAGTGCTTGAAGCAGGGATGTTCATAGCATTAAACTTTTTTTATTCATAGTTAGTACCAAAAGGTCTTTACCTAAACCCATTGCTAACGTGGTTTTAAGGAAGGTTAAGGCATTAAAGGTACTTAAAAACTGAAGTGTTCAGTATCCACCCATTCTAAACAACTTTAGCTATATATCAATCTAAAAAAATTAATAGAAAATGTTTTACTACATTAATATGAACATTTCAGTTTTAACTGTTCATAACTCAAAAAACATTGAATTGATTTTCTTCAAACTTGGATTATTTTCCCTTCCTTAATGACCCAACAAGCCAACTTTCAGCTTTTGAGTTATGAGAGCAGGACATTTCAATTGAAACATAGTGGGGAAATGTATTTTCCGTCATTATATAATTAAAAAATAACTGATTTTGCTCAAATTTTCTAACAACATTCACCTTTTGAGCTGAAACCAAGCATGGAAAGTTCCAGTTCAAATGAATTTTTTGTAAGTCACAAAAAAGGGAGGTTAGAATGGATACTACATTGCAACCTTAAGTCATCCCATTCACTGCTGTAGATGTACGCTGAATGTCTCAAATAGCAAAGCTAAAACAAGCATTTGGCATATCATTTACTTTAAAGGTACCTTTTTAACTCTCTCTCTCTCTTTCAGATCTCTTAAACTTGTGAGTTGCCTGCTCCCACTCCACGTGCATGGCCCCTGTATGCACTTGGCTGTTGATGAAATCCGGCTGTAGTCTAGATCCAACCTGTGGAGAGGTCAGGTGAGTACTTCCTTTTTTTATTTTTTGGTAAACCATGATATATGTTGAACAGTTTTGCAAAACTTTTAATTTCCTTATTTTGCTCTCAATTGGATATGAAATATAGATTTTTAAGTAAAACATGTTACTGAAGTTCCACAACTTTGCTGAGCTAATCTAGCACCCAATTTCCAGGAGTGCTGAGCACCCATGACTCCCACTAACTTCAGCTGAAATGGTGGGGATTCAGAACATCTAATAATCAGCCACTAGTCATTAGCTGAAGTAATTTTCCTAAAAATCATTCATATTCAGTGGTAGATAGGATTGTGCTTTACCTGATTAATAACCATAAGAGGTAGGAACAGAAGAGACCACTTGACTCATCCAACCTGATCCCTGCCTTTTTCAGGACTATTCTGTACGTCATTCCAATATCTGCAGTAAAGGTGCCATAGCTACATGTACCTCCTTTTGTAGTGCCCAGAAACCTCAACTTACATAAATACCATCATGATCCATCACCACAGTAGGCTGGACCAAGAGATAATTGCTCTGTGGAGCCCCATAAACATCACCCCAGCATAGAACTGTGTGTGTGGCAGGAGGGGAAGAGTGCAGCAGCAGGCCTGTCCTACCGATCTGGACAGATACAACCCAGCTGCAGAGGTAAGCAGAGTGGGAGCCCCATGCCTCTTGCTTGCTGCTCCTGAGAGGAGGCTGCCCCTGTTGCCATTTCTGGTTTTGGGAAAAAAGGGGCCCCATGCCACTGTTCCTTCCTCTCTAGGTTGACTTCTGCCACCACAAGTCTAAGTGGGGCTAAGGCCACACAAGGCCCTATATCATACTGTGCCTAGTGCCCCAGATTACCTTCTGCAGCCTAAACTTTTCCCTTCATTAGGGCAGTGGGTCCCAATGTTTTTACTAAGGCAGCAGCCAACTGCATTTTGTCTTTTTTTTGCATCCCACTATTACCTATATGCACCCTCTGCCCCAGCTGAGGAAGCTGGAGGGGGCTGGAGAGCAAGCTTGCCTCACACTCACCCTGCATCAGCGGCTCACGTCCTGCGGGCTGGCTCCTACCCCAGGCATTGCGACATAGTGCATAGGGTTGTAGTGCATCCAGGTTTGGCCTGGCCAGGAGTGTATGTTTGCCTAGACCAGGGCCCAGTGATGGGTTAATCAGGCCCTGGATATGGGCAACCCATCTAGAACCTTCCTGGAACCCACTGGTGGATCGGGACCCACCATTTTGGAAACACTGCATTAAGTCACTGCCTTTGCTCCCAACATTCTCCCAGTCTATGAATCATTCCATACCATCATTTATATTGTTACCTTCAATTTATTTATTGACTTTGTTTTTATACTCCCCTGAATGTTCTCTTTGCAGAATTCACATAGGAAACAATATACCTATACTGTAACTTGAAGAAAGAAACTGGCTGAGTGGCCCATTATTGTTGTGGGAGGTGACAGCCAGATTTCTCTAGAGTGCGGTAGACTATATTTAAAGGCCATATCCTACCTTGTACTATGGCTGCCTTGCACCATCTGGCAGTGCAAAGCTGCCTAACCTACCCCTTAAAGAATTCACTCACCATTCCCCTTCTCTGCTGTGTCAAGCACTGCTCAACTACAGCTGAGGATCTAGCCCTAAATCTGTTGAAACTGCAACAGACTAATAAGTATTATCTTTTAAAAGTATCTCAGTGATACTGTTATGCATCTCTTGATAAGAGCAAAAACCACCTTTTGTGTTGTATGTGTATATGGTTTACTAGTTTGTAATAACTGAAACCTCTCTTCAGGCTGGAATGATGATATTTTAAAAATGGGATGAAGGCAAGTATTGAAATAATTGCTGATTTGTGTGTGTACACACATGTTGTACACACATGTGTGTGTCAGCAATGATTTCAATACTTTCCCTCATTCCTACCATCATTCCAACCTAAAGAGAGGTTTAAGTTATTACAAACTGGTAGAGTCAATCAATATTTTATGATACTTCATCACCTCCTGCCATATTTGGAGTATATGTCAAAGGAAAAAGTTATTTTGAGTGTCAAGTTATTTAGTTTTATTTTGGTCTAACAACAAGAAAGCTAAAAAAGAGGTGGGTGCTATCTCATCTGTCTCCAAAGTCTGCCAATCAGATGAGGAGAGTTGTAAATATCCAGTCCCTCACATACCTTAAATTACATGCCTATTTGTACATTCCCTAGATTTAGCAGAAGGGAATAACAGTGGATAAAAACTAATCTATGGGATTTAATTTTAGATTTAGAGTCTCAGAAATTATTTTTATCTGATTAAAAATGTGAGTATCAATTTCATTACTGGAATTTTTCTCTTTCCTCAGTCTAGGATATAATTTTTGAAAATGTTTAATTTTTTTATGTTGCTTAAGAGGCTCTTTTAATGCCAATTTAAAATTTTGTTGTACAAAACCTGTTGATTATGTGGAGATCTGATTTAAAATGCTAGATTAATACTGAACCATCGAGGATCAGGTGCTTCCCCCTTTCATGGGAAAATTTGGTAACGTCAGATATTTGTTCTACCAATTGGAGAAAAACTATTAAGCATGTAGATTAAGAACACAGGAACATATGAATTGCCATCTAAATCACATTAGTAGTCACTCTGTCGAGTCTAATATTCTACCATCTCTGACAGTGACCACTGCGCAATGCTTCAGTAGAAGTTACATGAAACCCTATAGTGGACAGTTATGGAATACCCTACCGACAGGGAAATTTTTATTCCCGAATCTGCCATTTGTTAATGATTAAGTTATGCCCTGACACAAGAGGGTTTCTATCCTTTATTTAGGAGATGTTTTTTATTCTATGCAATTTTGATGGTTCTCATAGTGTCCAGTTACCCCTTCTGGCTCCAGCAAGAGAGAGACTTGCTGATACTTAGCTGGGTGTTAGGTTCTTGACACCTACAATCTGTTAGCCACCCAAACAATCTCCTCAGGGCTATGCCAACCCTTACTTTGCCTTGCAGATTAACTATACGTGCACTCCAGTCCTGAGCCCCTTTGAAGCGTTCCTCTGCGATATCCAGCCTCTGGCTACTCACAGAAATTGCTGGTTTGCTTTCCCCCAAAGGAAACAATGTACACACCAGCCTGTTTGATTAAACTGAGGATCAGCTCCCATATAACACAACAACACTGAGATATATTTATAGTGCAAACAATCGTAAGTTCTTCTTCATCCTATAGGTGCTACACTGTAGGTGTGTCTGCATCCCTGCATCTCTCATCGGAGATCTTTGGTAGCAGTATCTGTTCGGACAACACATGCGCTCTCCCTCCCTTGTGTTCTGCCTCAAGGCTAATTAGCGCTGCGTGGGCGAACCACCCTTAGTTCCTTCTTAACTGCCCCCGGCCTGAGACAGAGCAAATAGCAATCCCCTTTCCCTTACCTTAGAGTTAGGTTTTGTTTTAGTTATTATTTCTATTAGATTTTTCTTAGTCTTATAGGGTTTCTGTTAGTTTTTTTCCCAGTTAAAAAACAAAACAAAACATAACTTTTTCTTCCCCGCTTTCTTTTTCTCTCCTCTGGGGATCACCCCCAATAACGGGCATGCCCAGCTCCCTGGGTTTAAAAGGTGCCTCTGACACTCCCGCTGTATCCAATGCCTTGGAGAGGCTCACATTCTGCAGAAGTGCACCTTCTGCCAACAATTGTAGGCTAGATCCCCCAAAAAATAGGAGTTAAAGCTGAAACTCATCCTTATGGAGGATGCTCTTAAACCAGCATCTGACCCTGGTCCAGAATCCATTCCACGACACAGACCATCCCCGGAGCCTTCTACTTCTAAGGACAGTGAGCCATGGAGGAAATCTTCGGACTCCCATTGCAAGTCCTCAAACTCAGCCCCAGACCAGCCAGAGGAGATCCCTGGTGCGATCAGTCACCTCGGCACCAGCAGCACCGATGACTCCAAAGCACGGTATCCATAGGACACGTGGCTCATATGGTGCAGACACCGCCTATAAGCCCTAAGGACTCTAAGGGTGCAGGCTCTGAAGCAGCAGCATCGCCTGACAAAGGCAAGAGCACAGTCTGTACCATCTCTGCAAAGGAGGTACTGGCATGTGAACCATTGCTACTGACCGTTTCCAAACAACCCTTATCGGACGACCATCTTGGGCAAGATCTGTCCCGATTTCCTCAGTACCAGCGAGTCAGCACCAACAAGCCCTGATGGTACTGACCACTGCGGTACCGCAGGACTTCTTTTTTTCCAGAGATCTCATGGTGGCTGAGACTCCAGAGTCCCTGCTACTCGGTATGAAGGTCACGGTACTGAGCACTTCTCGATTCCCAGAATCACCACAAGCAACGGGGTGTTTGCTTCCAGCCTCCTTATCAGTTCCACCACTTTCCAGCAAGGATTCAATTAGTGACCAGGATGATGTCCTCTCACTACCCACACATCATGGCCCATCTCAACACCAACCAGGGCCTTCTCAGTCACACCATCAGTCTAAGTCTCAGCCCTCTTGATATGACCAGCCATGGGTACCCCCACCCCAGTGGCCATACTGGGATCCATGGGCAGCCTACAGGCACCATGCTTCACAGGCATCTGGTGTCTCTTATTCTGAGCCAATAAGACAATCGCCTGCAGCCTCTATGTCCAGAGCCCCAGAACCTTGAAAGGAAAATTTTGAGGTGCAAGAGGCCAGATTAGAAGAGGAGGTTACACCACTAACCAATATCTCCTCCTCTTCTCCGGACAAGGCCGTGAGGCTTCCTCCATCGTCCACAGTAGACGATTTTAAGTTGTTTCAGGTACTCACAAAAATGGCGGCAGACAAACTACAAATTCCCCTGGAGGAGGTGAAAGATACCCACCACAAGTTGCTGGATATATTGCACACATTCTCCTCCTCAAGAATCGCCCTCCCGGTTAATGAGGCGCTTCTGGATCCTGGTAAGGTCATTTGGCAAATTACAGCCTCTATCACACCAACATGCAAAAAGGCCGATAAAAAGTACTATGTGCTCCCCAAGAATGCAGAGTTCCTCTTTTCACACCTCCCACCTAATTCCATTGTGGTGGATGCTGTGAATTCCTGCGGCCAACAATATCATTCTAAGGCCACCCCTTATGATAGACTGGAAAAGACTTGATTTATTTGGTAGAAAGACAAAAACCTCAGCGACTTTGCAAATCAGAATTGCGAATTACCAGGCCTTAATGGCAAAGTATGACCACATGAACTACACCAAATTTAATGCATTTATTGACCACCTGCCAGAAACACAATGGGAACAGTTTCAGATTATCATACATGAGGAACAGTTAGTAGTGAAAACAGCTCTCCAGACAGCACTAGATACCACGGATACAGCGGCTGATTCGGTATCGATGGCAGTAGCGGTGCGTTGGGCATCGTGGTTACACCTCTCAGGACTGCCAAAGGAGGTACAGATGACGGTCGAGGACCTCCCTTTCGAGGGCTCCAAACTGTTTGCAGACAATATCGATGCATCACTTCATACCTTTAAGGACTCCAGAGCCACACTACATTTGCTGCGGATCTACATACTGGGACAGAAAAGAAAATTCAGTCCTCAGTCATCCCATAGATCCCAACCACCCCAGTACCCACCACCGCAACGGTACTATGAGCCACAGCGAAAGAGGCCTAAGATTCAAAAACATAAACCATCAGCCCCTCAATCCTCAACATCCCAGCTCTTGACCTCGAAACACCAATTTTGACACCTTGGTCAAAGGCCTGAGAGACCACTCCCCATAACATCAGCTGTAACCTACAGACCTTTGCATGCCACCTCACTCTTTTCTTCCAAAATTGGAAGAACGTGACTTCTGACAGATGGATCTTGGAGATTATCTCCAATGGGTATTTTCTCCACTTCACCTTTCTCTCTCTCCTCTCTACCCTCCCTCCCTGTCCCTCTTCAGGGACCCTTCTTACGAGAGACTGTTAACATAGGAAATAGATCACCTGCCACTCCTAGGAACCATAGAACCCACTCCTGTGCAGCTCAGAAGCAAAGGCTTCTATTCCAGATAGTTCCTGATCCCCAAAAATAAAGAAGGGTGGAGACCCATATTAGATCTAAGAGCACTGAACAAATTTGTGAAGGCACAAAAATTGAAGATGGTCACACTTTCAGCTATTATCCGATTTCTAGTGCAGGGAGATTGGTTTTTGGCCCTCGACCTGTAGGATGTCTACTTCCATATATCAATCCAGCCATCCCACAAATGATTCCTCAGGACTCAGTCAGGACTATTACCAGTACAGAGTACCTTCCCTTCGGACTCTCATTCGCACCCAAAGTATTCTCCAAGTTCCTCTCTGTAGTCATGGCTCATCTACAGAGCCTAAGGATCATGATTTACCCTTACTTGGACGACTGTCTCCTCAGAGTCCATTCCTTCGAAGAAGCTCTTTGGGACACCCAAAGATGTATTCATGCATTTGAGTTTGCTAATCAATTCCCCAAAATCGACCTTGACTCCACTACACCACTTGGAGTTCATAGGAGCTGATCTTGACTCAATACAAGCGTAAACACTCCTCTCACAACACAGATTTCACATCCTGACCACTCTCATAGACATTTCAGGGCAGCCCACAAACACCAGCCAGACGTTGCCTCCAACTTCTCTGGCACATGGTGGCATGCACGTTTGTGATATCTCATGCCAGACTACACATGAGGTGCCTACAGGCATGGCTCAGGTCTGTCTACACACCAAAGATAGACTAGGCAAACCCCTGTCGATGTCCTTTAGGGTCAAACATTCCCTGGAATGGTGGAAAGACCCTATGAACGTCTGCATGGGGGTCCCTTTCACACAATTGCCCCCCCCCCCCCCAAAAAACCATGGACGTATCCCTAATAGGCTGGGGAGCCCATCTGAATAACCAAAAGTTCAGGGCAAATGGTCCCCAATGGAGTCGACTCTCCACATCAACCTCCTGGAACTAAGAACGGTCGAACGGTCAGAAATGCTTGTGCTCATTTTATTCCACTGATCAGGGACACGCACACAAAAATCATAGTGTGCATGTTTTACATAAATCATCAAGGGGATGCCAGATCATCCTTCCTGTGCACCGAAGCACTAAAGCTGTAGAATTGTTGCGTTCACCACAATGTTCTCATATCAGCTGTTTACCTGCTGAGAGTACAGAATATAACACCATACAGTCTCAGCCACAAGTTCTCACGACTACAAATGGGAAATGAACCTGGCAGTACTCCACTACATACTGAATCACTGGGAAATCCCAATAATAGACCTGTTGGCTACTTACCTGAACAGGAAATGCCCACTCTATTGCTCCAGAGCTGGCTTCAGAAAACGCTTGTTAGGGGATGCTCTAGTTCTCCCATGGGAGAGGGGCCACATTTCCCCGAGTTTATTGTCTCCTCCAGAGACAGGACAATCCCCTGTGGTACATTCTCCTGTGTCTTGTCACCTGTTGACCTTACACCCTTTTGTTGATTTTGTACATAAATGGTGCTTCTATTATGTTGGCTTAAAATGCTTAATTTACATGTGAACCTAGGTACACAAGTGAATAGACATCCTTTGGCAGCAGCCTGTTTGTCAACTCTGCTTTGATTCAGACTTTTAGGGAACATATTTTCTAGCTATCCATACATACTTGCCCACATACAACAGTATTAATGACCAGTGTGACCCTGGCTTTTATTGAAGACCTTCCATGACATTCTTTATGGATAAATACTATGAAAGCAATGTGCTAGATGTAGTGAGTTTGTCAGGTCTGACAGGAGTTGCTGTTACAGAATAGCGAACCCTTTGCCAGTGGCACTAAGGAGTTGTTAGGGTCACACAGTAATGTAACTATGAATGTTCTCATTAACTATATAAATATCAAATTAGTTTTTTAATCCTGCTAAGACCTAGGCCTCAGTTATATACTTTGACAATGAGTTCCACAAGTTAATTATGTTATGTAAAAATAATTCTAAATGTGCTGCATTTCAATTTATTTGTACTTGTTTTATAATAAAGGTTAAATAGCAGTGCACAACTTACATTCTGGAGAAGAAGGATGGATGAGAGGTTTGTGCACAGGCCTAAGATGTAGGTGCCCTAGGTTCAAGGCCCTGCTCTCTCATAAACTTCCTGTATGATTTTTCGGCAAGTTACTTAGCCTCTCTCTATCTCAGCTCCCTACCTGTAAAATGTGCCTAGACTTAAGGTGGCTGGCAGTCTAGGTACTTATCTAAGCCAAGAAACCAACAGAAGTCACCTTACTCAACAGCAGCTTATGATGAATTTACCTTCTCTATGCTTTTTATTATACCTCTATCATGTTCCCTCTCATCTGGCAAGTCTGCAAATTTTGCTACTTCACTGTGTTTACCCTTTTCCCAGATAATTTATAAATATATTAACTAACACTGGTCCTGGTATGGAACCTCAGAGCACCTCACTGTTAAACTTTTGCCATGATGAAAATTTAGCATCAGTTTGTATTTCTACACTTCACTTTCTGCCTGTTAGCCAGTTTCTAATCGATGACAGTACTTTACCTGTCAGTCGTTGACTATTTAGTATCCTTAACAGCCTCCGGGGTGATGACTCCAGAAAAAGGGTTTTGAAAGTCTAAATAATTTATACTCTTTAGTTGACACATTCAAAGTATTCCATATTGTAGAAAGTTTATTTTATTTTATGGATACTGTGATGATTTGTCCCTCTCCTATCATGTTCATTTAGTTTTACAATTATATTTTAATTTTTATTTCTTCTCATTTGTTTAGTTTCTCTTCAATGTCCTTCTCCTCCTCAACTGAGCCATGCTCCTGCTAAAGTCAACAGAAAAACTGTTATAGAGGTCAGTGCTATGGGATCAAATCTTTGCTCCTTTCACTCCCTGGTATCCTAGTGGTACCACATCTAGAGTGACCCGATGTCCCTATTTTATAGGGATAGTCCTGATATTTGGGGCTTTTTCTTCTATAGGTGCCTATTATCCCCCACCCCGTCCCGATTTTTCACACTTGCTGTCTGGTCACCCTAACCACACCATTCCTGTGTTTGATATGTGTAATTTATTTGGAGAAGTCCAGCCTCCCTCCACACCAGTCAGTGGATTTGGTGTGGCACACATTGCTTCATTTAAAATGCTACAGTATATGCTACCACTTGGGTGTGCACTCTCCCATCACTGCTGGAGGCACTGTTCTTACCCCTCAAAAGATGTCACTGAAAGCTGTTGGTAGGATCCAATATTTCCAACACGGACAGTGGCTTAATGCTGTTTAGCTGTGAGATTCTGAGGACAATTTATTTCTAGAATTATTTTGAAACATCTACACAACGCTTTTGAAGAGAAACAGTTGCTTATACTAGGCAATACAATTAAAATACACAGGATTTTTGAAGTTCTTGAAAGGTTCACTCTATCATTTTACAGACTTGTTTGTCTAATCTATTATAAATGAAGAAATATTAAAATTTGTTTCCCACCTGCAGTCAGCAAAACATGCCCTAAGCACTAGAACTTCAAGAGCCCATTGTGCTCCTAAATAAGAGTCCCCTGAGACCATCCAAATTGGGTCACCCACAAATTTATTAAGCAGAGAAACATTCCAGAGAGATATTAGATTAGGAATACTTAAAAAAAAAAAAAAGACTACCACACAAAAATTCCATAGGACCAAATTATGGAGACATTTTTCTGGACAGGGACCTGAAATAACTGGTTGGTTAGCAAAGCAAACAGCTGAAGCACATGAAAGGTATCATATGGTGGAAGATTAGATAAACCTCTCCAAAGTCTCTGTTACAGATGAGCCAACATTTTTGAGACACACTCAGGATAAACGCATAATTTATCAGCCTAGCAAGTTACCTCCTATCCCTGCTTAACTTTTCTTTTTCTATGGCATTTAAGGTAAAGAAAATATTTAAAAGTAAGACCAGTACATTTTGTGACAAATACATTATGACCCCAAAATTGTCATCCGAAACGCTTGCTTCACCTGTTCATGAGGCGTACTCAGCTTATAATGCACTTGGCTGTCTGTAGCAAGCACCAAGTTTAAAGTTAGTACTACTACATTGCTCCTCTCATGAATTTTAAATATCTGCCCCATTGTTTACATTGTAATTTAATATATTAGTTACCATAACATTATGATCAAGGAGGCACTTGATATGAAAGCAGGGGGGAAAAAGTGTTTTGCTCTAAGAAAATTATTCTTATTTAGATTTGGATAACCAAAAGATGGATTCTTCATAAAAGCTCTAAATCAACATGTATGTAATTCACAATAAGTCATAAATTACTTTTTCTGAATTAGAAAGAAATGGTTGAGTAATTAGTGTGCACCTTCTCTATATTAAATTAAAAATGTTGATGCAACAGACACACAAGTTGGGAAATGTACAGTTTAATTTCTTCCACACAACTCAAGCACATTACACATATACATTTTAAGGCAGAAAACCTATCACCATTTAAAATGCAATTGGACCAGGTTACAGTTGGTCTGTGAATCATCCTGAGATTTGTGCTTGTAATATTTCAACTAAATGTTGAACTAATGTTTTGCATTTCGCATGGGAGGAAGAATAACAGTTAAGGTTCAGAATTGAAGGAGACCTGTGTTCTACTTCATTACAAGTACAGATTTCCTGTGAGATTTTGGTAAGGCATTTAAGGGCACATCCTGATCACACTGAAATCAAAGGGATTTTACACTTAGCCTTTGTTTACACTAGCAGTTTCATCAGCAAAACTTTTGTTGGTCAGGGTGTGGAGGAAAAAAAAACGAACTGACCAACATGAGTTTCACCGACAAATGCGCTGGTGTGGACAGCACTATGTCAGTGGGAGAGCAACTCCCACCGACATAGCTACCGCTGCTCATTGGGGGTGGTTTAATTATGCCGGTGGGAGAGCTCTCTCCCCTAGTCATAGAGCAACTATACAGGAAACCTTACAGAGGCACACCTGCAGCAGTACAGCTGTGCCACTGTAAGGTCTGTAGTGTAGACGTAGCCTCTGGGTTTGATTCTGCAAGATGCTGAGCACCTCCTGAGCTGGTGATTACCTTCTACTCCCAGGGAAGCGATGGAGGTTTCCCAGCACCACACAGATGGCACTCAAAACTTGCAGGATCAGGTATTTAATCTCTTTGCCTCAGTTTATTTGTAAGAAAACAGCGATAACATCCCCTACTGTACTTCACAGAATATTGTGAAGTTAAATTCATTAAAGTTGTAAATAGTTTTGAGATAGCACATTTTGCCTAACTACAATGTACAGTATATTTTATACTTTTAAACAGAAAGCATTAAACTTTAAAGCTACATAAAAATGCATTTATGTTAAGGATTTGTGTCTCAAATTCCCCCCATCCACCAGACTCAAGAGCCCAGATTTATACTTCTGACACAGCCCTGAAAGGCGAGTTGATGCATGAGACAGTCAAGTGTGAAGGCAAAAGAGAAAATGGTCAAAATATGTGACTAAAATTTAGCAGCCATGGAAGGGGCCTGCTGTCTCCTCTTTCCCAAGATGTCAAATTGAGCTTCTCCTCTACAGCACAGGAAAGCCTAACGTGAGACAAACGCACGCCCTGTAGTTAAGCCGCAGGCAGTGATTGTGCACCAGGCCTTGTAGCCTGAGCACAGGGCACCTGTGAGCCAAACACCCGCCTGCTCGGCCGCGCTCCCAGCGGGTGCCGGTGTAGCGTCAGGGAGGGGCAGCCGGGCCCCGCTTTCAGGGGCCGCCTGAACGAAGCCGCGGCCTCGGGCTGGTTTCCGCAGGGCCGGAATAAGACGCAGCCGCTTCTGCTGCGTCCCCCTGGGTCTCCTGCGGCCCCCACGTCTTCGCAGCCACCAGCGGCTCAGCCGCAGGGCCCTGCCTCCCCCAAACAAGGACAGGCCCCGCCCCGCCGTCCAACTCTGTAGCCGAGCGCCCTGGCCTGGCCCCAGCGCAGCCAGGACAAGCTGACCTCGCCCCGGCATGCAACGCAGCCCCGCGAAGCACTACAGCTCCCGGCATGCAGCGCTTCGGCGTCACTCGCTGGGGTTTCAGTCCCCTCGGGCCGCGCTGCATGCTGGTTACTGTAGTCCGCCGGCTGGTAGACGCTTGTTCGACTCCGCCCCTGCTGTGACGTAGAAAACAGGGCGAGAATCCCGCTGCCGCTAATTTCACTGTTGCTATGACTACCGGGGAATGGGCAGAGCCATGTTGTATAACGATGTTATTATAGAGGTCTACAAATGGCGTCAGGGGAGGGGGTGACCCGGATGTAAATGGCGCGCGTCACAGGGCGGGAGGACACAGGACAGGAGTCCCCCGCCCGGGACACGTGATCGGGCTGGGACGCGGCGCGATGGGGACCGCTCTGGACATCAAGATCAAACGGGCCAACAAGGTCTATCTCTGCGGGGTGAGTGCGGGGCCCGGCGCGCGGCAGCTGCCGTTGCCCGCGGTGGCTCCTGAGGGGGCTGCGGAGGCGGGGCTCGTTGTCAGGCTCGGTAACCGACTCCCGAGGGGGCAGGTGACCTGGACCGAGGGGGTCCCGGGGCCGCGGGGAAGGGCTTGGGGGGGGGGGTGTCGCGGCCGCAGCCAGCGCTCCGCGGGTCTCTGGAGCATCCAGCCCCTGCTAGAGCCCCGGGGTGAAGCGCGGGCTGGGGCCGGAATCAAAACTCCTCCCCTGGCCCAGCTGGTTCGGGGCCACCAGGGTCCCGTCCCGTCCCGTCCCGTCCCCCCCGGCTGGACTGAAGCCCGCGCTGAGCCCGCCCAGCTCGTCTCCTGACAGCCCGAGGGGCCGGGTTCCCGGCGCTGCCTGGCCGCGGGTCTGGGGCGCCTCGGCTGGCGCCGCCTGCCTGCCCCTCGCCGGTAGAGGGGACCGACTGGTACCTTTCACTGTATCTCCTGTGGCTGTTCCGTGCGTCTTACGAGCTATTGGGCAAGTTAGGGCTGACTGAGCACCTGCCTTCTGAGGGGGTTTTCCCCCAGGCGAAATGGAATGGTTGTGCTCTCAAATTCCATTTCCGAGTGAACTGTTTGTTCAAAGTAGGGAGATTCCCTCTAGCTTATAAAGAACAAATCAAGTATAAGTGTGTGTGTGTGTGTGTAAAGCAGCTGAATAAGAATGGACACAAGCATTACAGCTTTGAATTAGTGAATAAAGCCATTTAATGAGAGAGAACAAGCATTACTGGAGCAATCAGTGGATGAGAAATAGAAAATAATAATGAATACAGTGGTCTTGTTTGCACCCTATATCTAAAGGCTTATGTACACTTCCATTACACACCACATTGTTCAGGGGATTTATAACTCCGCTTTAAGAGCATTCCCTGGACTGAAATCTGATAAAATCAGCACAAAGGCCAAATATGTTGTAACTTTTTATTCACTATATATATATATAATGAGTCTGGCTGTGTTTGTATGTTGCCACTTTAAAGAGATTGTTGAATACATTTCCTTTAAAGTTACCTTTAGTACACTGACTAGACAGGAGAGCTGAATGATCTGAGAACACAATGTTGAAAGAACTGTTTAGTTTACTGAGTGCTGTACTAGAAATGCTGTCTGAATCTTTGATCAGGAATCACTAGGAATAGTCAATAAGTTAAAAATAAATCTGTTTTAATTAATCATGGGAGTTACTTGCATGGTGTAAGTTTTCTATTCTATTTTAGAAAGTCATTTGTCACCACACGTTACACTGACATCAGCCAGTGGTAATAATGTCTTTTATGTATAGCACCTTTCATCCCAAAGAATCCCAAAACCTGCTTTCACAAACAGTACTTTTATAGGAATCCCTTCACCTACCAATGCCCATGTTGCACCCAAGTGGTGCTGTCTAGCAATATAACTGCAGGTGGCAATATTACACTATAGTTAAGGTGGGGGAAACAAATTACCAAATCCAATTGAAACTGCATTTGGATTTTAGGCAGATATATTAATGCCTTAATTAACCATTACAGCTTGCTGTATATTTTTGTCACTAATATTATAATTGTATATAAAAACTACATTAAAATAACAAGGTTGAAACATCAAGCACTTCAAAGTTAGACAATGACAGTATGAAGGTTCCTTGGATTACCTGAACTGGGTACCCTTATGCATATCTATTATGATAGGCTTGCTCAGTATTGCATAGGAATTCTGTGGCAGAGCCACCAGTAGAACCCCGTTATTTTGCCTTGCATTCCAGTGTTTTAAATGCAAGGGAACATCTTTTCTCTTCTTGGAACCCTCTGCCTCAATCACAGTCCATCCTGTGCACTGAAAGAGGTAACGAGCGAACTTTATATTGGAATAGGGCCATGCTGGAGGTGGAAAGGATTGGTAGAAGAATAGAATGCTTTGACAGTTTTGGGCTCTAGAGAAGCCCATAGGCATCTGGATAAGGATGCCTTAAGTTAGAACAGCTCCACTTTGATTACTGTAACCTACTCTTCATCAGGCTCCCAGGACCCACATCACCACATCCACCCCTGGAGTCCATACAAAATACATCTGCTAAAACTTTGCCCACCATTCTGACCAGATCAACACTCTCCTTTCCTTTCCTCTTTGATCCGTCCACTGACTTCACCATATTAAGTTCAGACTTCTTGTGATCGTCTTCAATATCCTGCCTAGCTTTGTCAGTTTCAATTTATCCATCCTCTTTTTTTTTTTTAATGTTGCTACTCCCCCCCTTCTTCACTTCACCTCCACTCCATTTGAAACACCAGCTGTGAAGGCCTGTTTGTGCACTTCTTTTACAACAATACTTTCCCCCTGCTACTGTGTATCATTACATTCCTTGAACAGGTCTGCAGAGGAATCCCCTGTCCTCATTTAAATCCCTTCTGAAGGACCACTTCTTCAACACCCACAAGAAGCTAGCTGACCAAGCCATCTGTTTACATGTCATTTATTTATAAGTAAATTGCTCATTTATGTGGCGGAAAGATATTGAAGACTAGGAGGGAGGGGCATACGGATACTGGAACACAATTTGTGAGTTAGGGTAAGGGGAAGAAGAGAGGTTTGAATTCTGGCAGCAGATTGGGTGGGAGTGGAGTTGAAAAGCAAACATGTAAGTAAAGAGACTTCTGCCTGCCATCACCTTGATCACTTAACTTGTATTTTGTATTCCTTTCCCCTGCCTCCTCTCTTCATCAATATGTCTTTTCAGACTGTATGTTTTGTGAGGCAGGGACTGTCTTCCTTTGCATTTGGAAATCACCTAACATACTTTGGGTGTCACTGCAGTCTGAATTCTAGCAAGAGAAGAAACTGATAAAATCAATATGTTTTGGTTATCACTTTTTCCTTGTTAGGAAGTTCTTTCTGGAGTGGTGGTCATAACAAGTAAGGATGCAGTCCAACACCAGGGTGTCTCCTTAACGATGGAAGGATCAGTAAATCTGCAGCTCAGTGCCAAAAGCGTTGGTGTGTTTGAAGCTTTCTATAACTCTGTTAAGGTAAGAAATATGTAGATTGGTTTCTTGGGTACAAAAAGTTATGTCTGGTGTCTAAATCAAATCTCTCCTTAGTAATTCTACTTCTTTATGATTGTGTATTACTTCAGTGTATGCAGGTGGTTTAATATTTTCCCAATCACTGCCATTATCTAGCATAACACTGTGAGCTTCAGATGCAGAAAAATGTGTTAAGACGTACCCAGCCTAAGTAACCACAGAGTTAAAGAAACCTTGTCAAGATATTTACTGCTGTAATGTGCCGTGCTATTTGCATGTAGCTGTAACTGGTGTAAGAAGCACAGTCCTGCAAGGGGAAGAGGAGTAAAACTGTTCTAGAATTGAATTCTTATAAATAAAGTGAATGTGAAGGCTCCAAGCAAAGCTGCAACGAGAAGCCTGTTTTTAGTTATATATAAAATATCTCTTCCATATGTGAGCCCTAAGCAGCTGGATAGTTTACTTTTGAGAGGAGAGAAGAAATACTTACTCTGAGGAGAAAGAAAGCTTCCGTCAGTCTGTGCTGCTTCATGTGTCAGCAGAGATGAGCCAAAACCCCAGGTTTGAATAGCCCTAAACTTAGGGGATATCCATATTTTTCCCCAACAAAGCATTTTCAAACAACCAGAACAAGAATTTTAATTCCATTTCAGCTTTAGAAGCTTAACTTCAAATGTAAGTTCCTTGATTTAGACAAATGACCTTTGAACAGTAATTTGGGGCCCATCATCTTATCATTGGCATTGGGTATTGTAGCAATTTAAAACAAAAATAGTTTGAAAAGAAAAATGAAAAATCACATAGGGGAAAATAAGATATTTATTTCAATGCTCTATTTGATATTAAATTAATTTCCGTGCTCAGGGAGTGCATGTATTTTATTTATTTTATTTTGCTGTTCCTACTCTGTTGTCTTTTAATTGATGGAGGCATATTTCATGAGAATTTGCATGCTTCCCCAGTCAAGTGCCAAACCATAGTTTGCCATTGTTCCAGCAACATTCTGATGCTAAATATATAGCTTGCCTTTGGGAGCCCTTCTTCCCTCCAAGAGCTAACTGCTCAACTGGCATATACACATACAGACTCCTGCTGCTGCTGTTAAGGTTTGTGATTTCGATAATGGAACAAGAAATGTGCTGCTTTCAAAAGTGTACTAGGTTCTACTTGTTAGCTTCTTAAATGTGCTTAGCCACCAGTCTGACACACGTGCAAAAAAACTGTACAGACTGTCTTGGTAAGAAACATTAAGTAAGACCACTTTTTGCCACAGCGTGAGTTTGTAGAGAATTGTTTGTATGGGACACAGACATGTGAATTTGGAGATATTTGGAAAGGCTGATAGGGTTTCATGTGGCTCTGTTATTGGGCCGTTATTATGAAGCAGACTGCTTTATTATAAACTTCTCAACGTTTCTCTTTACAGCCTATTCAAGTTATCAACAGTACCATAGAAATGGTAAAACCAGGAAAACTTCCCAGTGGCAAAACAGAAATTCCTTTTGAGTTTCCATTGCATATGAAGGGCAACAAAGTTCTATATGAGACATATCATGGTGTGTTTGTCAATATTCAGGTGAGATGGTTTTCTGCGTAGGGGAAAATGTGATGAACTTGCACTGTCTGCAGGAACTACACTCTGAGAAACTTCTCTAATTGCACTATGGGAGGAAACTATCTGGTGGCAGCATAACTGTATGTTGTCAATATTTTTGGTTTTGTCAATTTTGTACAATTATTGCAATGCTCATGTACAGGTCCCTTAAATTAAAGGTCCCTTAAATTAAAATTCGTGTTCCAGCTGTGGGGGATTTTTTTAAATTTACCGAAATGCTAGTAGGAAAAGATTATATATTGGTTCAAACATTTCCCAAACATCTGTCATTGTGGTATTTGGGTGCACTTTACATGGCTTAAATTGAGTCAAAAGTTTCATGATTCCGTTCAGCTCACAGCTGTTGAGACAGAACAAAAATTGTCCCATTAGCTATTTCTCCAGGATTTAGTACCTCAGAGACAGTGGAAGACCTGTGTGAAGAGAAACACTTTTTGGATTTATTTCCAAACATGGCATAACAGCCATTTTAAGATCTCAAAACTTTATCAGGATATATAGGCTTAAAAATTATACTTGCACTTTAAAAACAAAATATTTGGGATTGTTTTTTTCCTAACTAGGAGTTTTGGCTTGTGTTACTTATCCCCTGTTGCAAGGATCATCCGATACAGCCTTGGAAATGTAAGAAAGAAGAACGAAGTTTTGGAGGGTTTTTTGTTGTTGTTGCTGTTTGTTTTTTGCTTGAAATAAGTGTGTCTTAAAAACAAAGAAGGAATCTATACTGTGTTTCACCCTTTCACGTCTATATTTAGTGGTGGGTTTTTTTTTAATGTAGGGCCATTTTATAAACTTAGAATCAAGAGAGATTGATTCATTGGAATTTCACCACTCTTCAGTAGGTTCAAATATGAAGTTACGTATAATGGGACAGTGATATCCTAGCACAGGATATTGTATTGTACCTATTGTGTCTTATTAACCATAAAATGTGTACATCGCCTGAGTTAAAACTTTCTTTTAGTCTCTTCATTTCATGTAGGAGCTGTTATTAGTTTGTAGGATGGGGTCTATGAGGCCTTCTCTACTCCCTGCTGGAGGCGTCAGCAATCTGATACTACCTCCATCACTCCCCAACTCAAGGAAAACCCACTCAAGTCAGGCTACCAACAAGACTTAGTTGCCCAGAAGCCTAGAAGGGCCAGGAGGAGACACTGGCCAATCAGGAGCCAGCAGATCAGTTAAGAAAGCTTTCCTATTCCCTCACAAGGGATAACAAGGTGATTACTAGTGAAGCAGCTTTGCACTAGAGTACTAGTGAAGAATCACCAAAATCTTCATACCTTCTCTCCCCCCACCCCATCATTGCTGAGAGTATATAGTACAACATAAACTAATAAAAACTATTCCTTTTTATAACTGAACCAAGAGACTTGCACAGAACACTCTTGATGAAAGTATTTTATGAACCTCTTAAGCTGTCAAAAGTAACTTCAAAAATATTCAGAGTATAATTATAAAATGCTGCATACACAGAGGGGCTGCATACACAGATAAGACAGGTTTAATTCCAACCTATCAAGTACTGATGAGATGACAGCTAGAATACGGCATTCCATAATGGACACCGTGGTCCATTAAAAGATGGTTATGATTGTAACAAAAACTAGAGACAAAGGGACTGGCTTTGAGGTCCATTTTTAGGTGGGGGGAGATACCTTAGGCTCTCAATCCTGCAGCTGGATCCATGTGGGCAGAGTTCCATTGACTCCAAGGAACATCCATACAGGCGTAAGTATCCACCCACATGGACTCACCTGCAGCTTCTGGGGTGTAAGTATCAAGGAAGGGGAGGCACTTCCCTTTAGAGTTATCAAGGAATACAATTTAAGAGTAAAGAGATTTTTAATATCAAGGAATAACTTCCTAACAGTGATGTCTGCTAAAGTGTGAAGTAATCTCTTAAAGGAAGGAAGCCCAATTGCTTGAATTATTGAATCACTTAAATCTAGACTGGGAAAAACACTAAAAAATATAGAAAGGGAACAATTCTGCTTTGGCAAGGGAATATGCTAGGAGTGACCAAGTCAAAATTTCATACAACTCCAACAGATGACCTGAGTTGTTGTTCCAGTGGTTAGGGATTTGAGGGATGAGGGTTCAATTCTCTGCTCTGCTACAGACTTCTTATGTGACTTGGCACTTAGAATCTCTGAGCCTTAATTCCCCACCTGGAAAATGCTACTTTCCAACCTCACAGGAGTGTTGTGAGGATAAAAAAAAAAAACTACTAAAGATGATGAGGTGCTTGGAATATACTGGGCTCATACAGGTACCTTAGATCAGTGATTCTCAATTGGTGGATTTCATCCCCCAAGTAGGTCAGGAAAGGGAATTGGGGGGGTGGGCACTTTTTTAACAAAAAGTGTTAAATTTTTATTATAATCCAAAGAAAATCTGCACCCTGCACACCCTTACTGGTCAAGTATTATGTCAGCCTCTCAAAATGCACACAGATTATATAGACTTTGTATTGTTACCAGTGGTACTTTTCTTACATTTAAAGTACATGTAAGAGTTATGAAAATTTTTGGTTTTGAATGAGTTGCTAACTTGCAAAGGGTGAGAAACAATGCTTTAAGTAGATATGTGCTAACTGGAACTTGTAATGTTCCTATAGAACCCTGGACATAACATCTGTTGATTAGTATTAGTACTACAGTCTTTTAGGCAGTTTCCTCATTAATATAGCAGACAGGTTTTGGTGCGTATTCTGCTAATAACGATTGGACTAAACAAATACGTAAAGACTATTCTTCGGCTGGGAGTAGCTACCATTACGCTGTATTCATTTTTCTTTTACTAGTAGAGTAAACAAAATTCGATTGTAAATTGTGCTGGGTAGGGAACATATCTTTCTATTATGTGATTAGCATTGAGAGCAGTCAGGCCTGATCCTGAGTGAGGTCTCTGAGCATTATTGCTGTACAGATATTCAATTATTACACTTTAAGTTTCAGTTTATAAATGATAAATGATTAATAGATGTTATAGGGTTGTTAGATATGAGTACTACATGATATAGATGGTAATAAGCAACCTGTTGGACTCTACAGCATCTATAACCATTGATTAACAATTTATTAAAGAATATATAAGTTGCCTACTGACTCTTAATAAATGACTTATAAATGGAATGTTAATATAAATAGACAGTGACACTTTGTTTCTAGAATGATTTCTCTCTAAGTCCATGCTGGAGATGGAAGAAAGCTTTGATAAGACTCTTATCCCCCAATCTTTCTCACAGTATACCCTTCGGTGTGATATGCGACGTTCTCTACTGGCCAAGGACCTGACTAAGACTTGTGAATTCATTGTCCACTCACCAGTAAGTTGGAACATAGAGATTTTCATCTCTGCAGTTTTGTTCTGTTTAGCAACGTTTGGTGCCCAGTCTTGTATGGTGATGTTCACAAGATGTAATGCTGTAACTTGTATGTAATGTTGTAACTCCTATATTAGCAAGCCATAAGACCTAAGGTGGCGGTGTGGGGGAGAGGGAAGGTTGGTGTCATGCTTTCTTTTATGTTTTGAAGTTAGCAGTATTCAGGCTTCAAGCATTTCTGTTACTACTCCTCTACCTCAATATAAAGCTGTCCTCGGGAGCCAAAAAAATCTTACCGCGTTATAGGTGAAACCGTGTTATATCAAACTTGCTTTGATCCACCGGAGTGCACAGCGCGCCCCTCCCCCCCACCGGAGCACTGCTTTACTGTGTTATATCCGAATTCGTGTTATATCGGGTCGCGTTATATAGGAGTAGAGGTGTATTTGTATTACTGTGGTACCTAGCAGCTGAGACATGAACTAGGACCTCATTGTGCTATAATTTACATAACCTTTCCACCTTAACTTATTTTAAACGTGCTCTTTTAACTGACACAAATATGTTTGAGAGATGATGAGCTTGCTATGTTATGAAAACCTCCTGTTTTCCCCCTGAGTCCTCCCCTTCTCGCTCCCTGCTTGTTCCCTTCATGTCCTAGATACATACTGGTCTACTCAGTATCTAGATACTATGGTTATGTGTGCTCCCATAAGTATCTTTTGGATGACCTGATCTCTCTCTGTCTCTCTCCCCCAGGTGCTAAGCTTCCAGAGCTCCCATTGGAAATTGAGAGCTTTGGGTGCTCAGCGTCTATGGAGGGAAGATATCAAGCCTCTTGTATTCAAATGCGTAAATTATTGATTTAGGTCCCTTACTCTAGGTGTGGAAATAGGACTGCATCTAGTTGGAGACAAGTTTACAGCCTCTTAGAGTATGTCTACACTGCAATTAGACACCTGTGGCTGGTTTGTGTCAGCTGACTTGGGCTTGGGGTAAGGTGCTGTTTAATTGCAGTGTAGACACTTGGGCTGGAGCCCAAACTCTGGGTGCGTCTCAGAGCCGAATGTCTACACCTCAATTAAACAGCCTCTTAGCCCACATTCCGCAAGCTCGAGTCAGCTGACTCCGGCCAGCTGTGGATTTTTAATTGCAATGTAGACATACCTATAGGGACTACATAAGGTTAGTGTCCTAAACAAGTTGTTCTCATCAAGTTGTTCATGGATAGTGGTGGGCTCAGAAATGACTATTGTAACTAATGCCTTGATTCTGCAATTAGTTCTATGCAAGTGGATCCTTGCACCTGTGTGGAATTTATTGCAGAATCAAGGCCCACATTTTTAGCTGTATTGCATGAACTGCTTTTGCCTTTCATCATGAACATGTTCAGTAAAATGGGTGCAACTGTGATTTGTATTGATTATAGATGTGTGCAGAGCACATGTATAAGCAATATAATCTGCGCAAACTTAACAAGCAAAATATATTTGCTTCCACCCGAAACTTGCTAGAACACACATGATGCTTAGCTCCTGTAAGGAGCTCTTCAAGAAGAGTGCTAATATACTTAACAATGTTTTGTTCTCCTCATCATCAGTGATGGAAATTAATACAGTAGAACTTCAATAACATGCACAGAAATTGCTCATGTCAGCAAAGATTTAATAGCAAGACACTGCAGAGATCTTGTTCCTACATTTTGTAAAATGAAAAATCGTACTATGCTACATTAACTAGTACATTATGAAGTATTATAAATAAGCCACAGTTGTAAGCTGCTCATTATTTTGACCTATTACGCAGTATTCTTGCTTTATTTCTTTTTCAGAAATAGCACTCATTAGTTCACAAAATTCAGTAATTCACCATGAGTCTCCCAGTCAGTGTGAATTAATGAGGTTCTACTGTACATATAATTCTCAGTGTCAGTACACAATATTATTTCCCTTAACCTTCTTTCCTTTGCCAGAATTTGTCAACTGTATTTTCCCATAACTGAGAATGTGTGTTTGTTTATGGCTGGCAGTTTCCCAGTTTTGCAGTTGTACACAAGAAACTACTATGGACACAAAGTAATGGAGAGTAAAACAACTGCAAAGTTCAAGTTGGGTCTTCTGATGATGATAAAGCACTGCCCCAACTTTCAACAGTGCACAGCTGGGACCCTCATCACTGATTGGCACACAAAAAATCCTTACACGTATTTTAAGTGGAAGCTTTGCTGCAATGTGAATGGAGCTGAACAAAGATAAGGCACCTCATTGGGAGGAGGGTGAAGAGAGGCAGTTAACTGAAGATTAAAATGACAATTCTCTTGTCCTGTCTGTGCGAAGTGCCAGACTGCCATTTCAGCAGCAGTTCAGGGCCTTTTAAGTCGCTTTAAACTTAGTTTAGCTTTTATGGTAGAAAGTAAGAGGTTTTAAAATATTCAAAATATAGATTTAAAAAAAAATAACATAGGTCCTCAGCTGGCAAAATCAGTGGAACAACACTGAATTACACCAGCTGAGTATCTGACCCAGTAAGTTGAAAACAGGTACTGGGCCATAACCTGCGTCTGAAAGCGCTCTCGCTGGGGGAGGGGTGGTGGTAGGAGTTCAAATAGTGCAGGGAGGGCACTTCAGATAGAGAGGGTTAGAAAAACAATCAGTATGCTCAGGATAATAGAGAAAGTGCATAGATAACTTTCCCCACTATTTTCTCAAATCTGCTTACTAGGAGGGCTGAGTGCTACTGGAAGGACACATTGCGTCAGACTTCACAAAACTTTTTTTTTTTAATTAAATAAATAAAAGCCAACACTGATATGTAAAATCAAGAGCCCTACTTTAACAGCATGGCAAGGTGTGCATTAGTAGGCTATTGGTTTAGAGCACTTAACCTTGTGACTCGCAACACAACATGCCCAGGGCAGGCACCAGTAACCTAGTAATGCACATCCTGTCATGGTTTATTGCAGTAATGGCAAGGATAGTTCTGGATATCCAGGAATTAGAATGTCAAAATGTGGTTATTTTGTAACACCTGGTGACTTGTATTTGGTCCATGTCATAATCATGTCCTGTTTTCTTGCAACATCTAATAGACTTTACATGAAATGGGTCAATTTCTTATTAAAAGAATTACACCTAGTTCGCTAAAGACTAGTTCAAAGTTAGACACTGTAAAGTGATTAGGTCAGCTTCTAAACCGGTCTTGCAAGTAATGGCATATGAAAAGGGATTCTTTTCATGATTTGATGTGTGTACATTATCATGTAAACTCTATATACTGAGTATCCAGTATCAATACTACCTTTTCATTACATTACAGCCTCAGAAAGGGAAGTTGATGCCAAGCCCAGTGGACTTCACAATTACACCTGAAACCTTACAGAATGTTAAAGAGGTAAACATTTTGTTTTTAAAAAATGCCTTAAGTGGTGTTGAGTGACTCTCTTGTCTCTAGTGTGAACTGGTGTGAGGAGTGAGATAAGTGGCTACTATTAGATTCTGCTCCACAACTAGTCATAGTTCTTCCTCTCCTCTTTTGCCAGTTTTGATTCCTGAAATGCTAAGCAACCGTTCAATGGATAGCAGTGCTACTTGTTCTTTTGTGTTGATGCTGTGTTGTTAAGAGTTTTCCTCAGTAATGACTACACGTTATTTTGTTTATATTTCCCTTACTGGGAACCAACCAAGTCAGTGGAATATGGCAGCCAAGAGCTCCCATTGACTTCAGATGAGGCTGTGAGTACTCAGCACTTCTGTAAATCAGACCACAGCATCTCAAGCTGGGCACCGGAAAATGAGGAACATACAATTAATCACTTTTGGCTTAAATGACTTTCCCAGTAGCTATATGGTGACAGAGGCAGGGATAGCAATCAGTTCTCAGGACAGCATTCAACTGCCTTAACACTGAGACCCTCCTTTCTCTCCCCGCAATCCCCTGCCTCATTCACTAAACACCTTCCAACTGCCACAAAAAATAAAAGCAGGGGTCCTACAGGCAACACCTCCTTCACTCAAAATCCTGATTCATCCCCAATCCACAGTCCATCCTGTGCAGGGACCTAGTGGGGGGGAAACAGGTTACCATGTAAGTAGAGACTGTATCACAATGCATGCGCTCAAGGGTGCTCCATTAACATTGCACAGGCAAGCTTGATCCTGGCATTTTCTAACTTTTGAAGGGCCTGACTTTGCAACCTTAATAATGTTCTTTTAATGTAGGGTTTTTATGTACTTCAGTAATTCTTATGCTGCTTCTTTCCACAAAGGGTGGTTTTGCCTACTTAGCATTCTCTGTGCTCTTTATGATTAGTCATGTGACTTTTTTTTTCCCACCCTACATTTAGAGAGCCTCGCTCCCAAAATTTTTCATCAAAGGTCATCTCAACTCGACTAACTGCATCATTACACAACCACTAACTGGGGAGTTGGTGGTGGAGAATGCAGAAGCTGCAGTCAAAAGTATTGAGCTACAGTTAGTACGTGTGGAAACTTGTGGTAGGTTGTTTCATGTACATTAAAATCTGAATATACCACATGGGTTATCTGAATATTTATATTCTAAATGGACATAGCATACTTGTCTAAAGCAGTAGTAGAAATCATTTGCAAAAGTTACTTTTTGTATATCAAAAGTATCAATTTATAGGGTATTCAGATGTAATTTTTAAACAGTCATAAAGTCAAAGCTCTAATGGGTAAAAGGGAGGGTGTTTGTTTTTCGGCTAATGCCTCCAGCCTTTGAATTATGTTCAGTAACTTTCTAATAGACTTAGTGCTACTTTTTTTTCCTTCACCCTTATACTTGTTTTCTCCAGGTTGTGCTGAAGGTTATGCTAGAGATGCTACAGAGATTCAAAATATTCAGATTGCTGATGGGGATGTCTGCAGAAGCTTGTCTATTCCAATATACATGATATTCCCCAGGCTGTTCACCTGCCCTACACTGGAAACGACAAATTTCAAAGTTGGTACGGACCCAGATATTTTTGAAATATTGGTACCTTCAGAATCCATGTGAAACAAGCTGCTAGTTTCAGTTCGGTTTCTAGTGGGCAAGGGGCCACAATACAAACTACCACCACTGGCACTAATGAGCAGCTTTGCAAGGGAGGCCAAGGAGACCACCTTACCAGCAGAGGTGGTTCCATACCAGGGTTGAAGTATATTAACAAGGGTAACGTGGGGAAATCAGCAATACCATTCTTTGAACAGTACCTGTTGTGGATAAAGAGGACTCAGGCTCCAGGTCTGTTAGTCCACTAGCTTTAGGGAATACTAAATATACCAAGTATCAGAGGGGTAGCCGTGTTAGTCTGGATCTGTAAAAAGCAACAGAGTCCTGTGGCACCTTTAAGACTAACAGATGTATTGGAGCATAAGCTTTCGTGGGTGAATGCCCACTTCGTCGGCTGCATTCACCCACGAAAGCTTATGCTCCAATACATCTGTTAGTCTTAAAGGTGCCACAGGACTCTGTTGCTTTTTAAATATACCAAGCAATTTGTCTCATTAAAAACCTCTATACCATTCCTTTAGCTATAACCTTCTCCATTCAAACTAAGTTCTCTGTCTAGTATATTCTGTCTTCTTACTCTTAGTGGTTTCGTAAGTGGTCTAAACTAGAACTAAACTAGTTCTGACCAGGAAAATTATCTGGGAGAAGCAGTTTTAATGGCAAAGACCTGTTTCCGGTAGGGATTAAATATGCTGAATACCTACAGCTCTCAAGAGCAGCAGGAAATTCGGAGGGTAAAATGCTGAAAAGTGATGCTTTCCTTCCATTATCCCTTTCTGTCATCACTGACACACCCGCCATTCTCCCGGTCACTCAGGCCTGGAAGTTGGGGGTTGTCTGTGACTCCATCTATTGATTCCCAGCCAGGCCATATCCAAATCTGTCGACGACTTCTTCCATAGTGTTGCCAAGATTGTTTCTTCATCAATGCACACCATAAAAACTCTCGTCTAGGCCCTTTTCTCCCCTCCTGAATATTACAATTGCCTCCTTCCTTCCTAACAACCTCATCAAACTTTCCACTTAAGGACATTCAAAATGTTTCTGCTAAAATCATCTTCATAATGCATAGTTCTAACTAAGTTTCCTTCTTCTGAATCTATCCCCTATATCGCTTCTCCATTTCCACTACATAAAGCTTTTTGTGCTTGCGTTTAGGACCCTCCACAACTTAGCGCCTTCCTACTTTTGTATCTTCGTATCATCCCCAATTACATCTCCTCTGCTTCACCAACTTTGATCATCCATTTTTGTGCTTCTTTTATATGTGCAATGCCCTCCAATGGATTTGTTTGGAGAACCACTACCCTAAACTCCTTCAAATTACTCCTCAAGATCTACTTCTTACTATGATGCCAACAGTAAATTACTAGCTAATAATGGCTAGACAGGTGGCTACCACTAATGCAGTTAGTCAAATCTTTTATGGAGCTATGTATATGTTGACACATAGGCTGGAGAAATTGGTCATTTTTTTTAGTGCCCTGTTGTTTTCTACAGTGTTGAATCATCTAGCACAGATAATCCTAGAACACTAAAAACAGCTTGAAAGATTTATCTAAGGTGAAGGAAGCTGAGAGCAGGAGCCACAGAACTATCATGGTTTCTACTGTACAATTTGAGTTAATACCAGAGCTCTCTTTTTCCCCTAGAGTTTGAAGTTAACATTGTTGTCCTCCTGCATGATGATCACCTCATCACAGAAAATTTCCCACTGAAGCTCTGCAGGGTGTGAATATCCACAGGAGAATTGCTAATGGAGGAACAAAGAAATTCTTCAGCTACCAAATGGAAATTCAGTTCATATCTTCAAACTTATTTTAATTGAAGGACTAAAACTTTTGCTCATCCCACTATTGATTTCTGTGTTGGAAGGGAGTGCAGTTCTCTGTAACTCTTACCAAACACGTTGTCTATCTTCTGATATTATTAGTGAATGTGCTTTTCTGCTGAGATTCCTGCCAGGTATCTCTTTGAATTCAACAGCCATGCCTCCCTTTCTGTATTTTTTTTCTTAAGAACCCTTAAGGGATGTTTTTTGCACATTCCTACCGTGCACAACACACAGTAAGTTTCTATGATTAATTGATAATTTAACACTTGTGCTAACTCTTTAAATGTTTCCTTTATAAGGATCCTTGTATCTAAACAGCTAACAGGCCCTGCTATGTATTGGTCCTTGAAGGAGAGACTGAGAGATTAGATGTTTTCTAAGCCACCTCACCATATGGATGCTGGGAGACCTAATGTTCAGGAAATGTTTTGAGACCTTTGAATGGTGCTACGGAATTGCACCACAGTTATTGGAGCAGCATCACACAAAGAATATGAAGTGAAAGGAAACTAAGTATGTTTCAGTTAGATTGGGAAACGAATCCATTAATCAGGGGAACAACCTCAGAGTTAAAGCTTTTTATTGTAACAAAGTTGATACAACTATCACACTCTAGTTAGCTTGGTCAGTTACTTGCATAAGTTCTACTGCAGTGAGAGGACCAAACTGTCAAAAAGAGGTTCTAGTTTGCAGTTGTGCCAGACCTCTTGATTAGCCAGTCCATGTTAATTTCTTTTTCCCCCTACTACTGAGTTCTTTACCTACAATCTAGTTGTGGTGCAAAAATGTGGGTACTTACTTTGCTCTTGTGGCAACAAAGGCATCAGATGAAAGCGGCTGTCAGTATGCTTGGCTGCTACATTGTAGACTCGCTCTTTCCTGTGCCTGACTTTATTGCAAGGTAGAATACTTTACTAAAGACTGCATAAACATATTTATGTTCTGGCCACCCCAATTAACCTTTTGCCTGCAATATGGTATTATGTGGGTAATTATCTGAGCCGGTTACTAGCTGCTTCCCCTTTCATTGGAAGGTTTAGTTGACATTTGCTGAACATGTCAAGATGTAACTATGGTAGGGGAAATGTGCCAGGCGCAAATGAATTTTTATTTATTTATTTATTTTTTTACTATTTGCTGATTTAAAAAAAAAAGTGCAATGGAAGGCTTTTCAGTTAGCACATCTTTATTGGGTAGACCTGCTTAAACTGCCACAGCAGGAACTAAACCAGGAGACTCTTGTTTTGGGGAGGTGGTGTAGGGTGGAAGAATTGTGTTTTTGATAATGAAAGAAAAAGTATGTATAAAGGCAGAGTGTGCTTTTTCTGAATGTACATTTGCAAATGAAACCATCTGGGGAGGGGGAAGGAGGAAGAGGCACGGCAAAACAAAATGAGCAGGTGCCTAAAACGTCAACTCAGTCTTGAAGTAAAGACACTTGACAAAACATCTGATTCTGGCTTTATCCCTCCCTTCATCCAACAGAAAAACACAAAGTTTTCCAGCTGGCTATGCAGGCCTCTGGTGTGGCTAACGGCAAAATCCTTGTTCAGCAACTTTCATATTTTAAGGAATAAAAACCTGAAGTTCTAAAAATCTAGTTTAACAATTTGCAGTATCAGCACAACATGTTGGCATTAAATAATTACAAAATCCTCTCCTCAGCTACTGCAAAAACAATGTTTGCATGTGATCTGGAAATATTATTACAGGATCATTTGGGGGGAAATGAAGTCTATGACTTCCAAACAGGCAGGATGATACTAGACTGCCAGCTCTTGGCCAATACCAAAATGGCTATGTGAATTTACAGATGTTTAGGGGTCTTTTGTAAGCATGTAATGAACATCTAATGGAAACAATGTATAAATAACACTGCTATGAATCCTGCATTTAATTTAGGAAGTACTGGCATTGGATCCTTGCATTGTCACAGCAGGAACTGTTGACCTACACCCTCCAACACAGGACTACGCCAACCTAGATCATCCCACTGAAGTTCTTGTTCACATGTGACACCTACTGGAGTGTGAGACAAACTATGAAGATTATTCTGGATCTGCGGCAGAGGAGCGCATGTTAAAGTGCCCAGCTAATCTTGCTACATGGATAATACCCTTTCAGCTAGTAATAGCAATGTAATGGAAGGAACACTATTTATTTTCCTTAGGGAATAGAGAGCACATGAGTCCTCCCCTTCCATTTACTAAGCCATTTGGCTGAAAAGATGCAGGGTGGGGGGAAAAGATTGTCCTCCAAAAACTAAGCTCTGGTTAGCAGGAAGTCATGTATATAACCTTCCTTGTATTTCACTGTACATCTGTTTCTTTATTGTTCAGGTATGAAGGATTCTAGCTTGGTTCTTTGAACACAGTGGTCCAGTTATTTTGTACTGTTTACATCTTGAGAGTGGGGAGATAGTAATTAGTGAGCCCCACAACCTTTAAAAAAAAAACTGGTAATTTAAAGCATTGTTTTTCTGCTCTGCAGAATTAGGGATTGGTGGAAGCCCAAAGACTCTCATCTTACTCTATTTACATTTTTCATAGTCTCTTTTCACCACCACAGAGAGCTTTGGGGCTTTTTGACAGACTAATCTTTACCATGAATTGAAGTTGATGACTCTGCTCATCTTTCCTCAAATGTTAGCAGAGCTGGTCAAATTCCAAGGCACAACTTAAAATGTGACCTGCTATAGCAGGGGTCAGCAACCTTTCAGAAGTGATGGGCCGAGTTTTCATTTATTCACTTTAAGGTTTCATGGGCCAGTAATACATTTTAACGTTTTAGAAGGTCTCTTTCTAAAAGTCTATAATACAACAATAGTTTAGTTATATATGTAAAATAAATAATATTTTTAAAATGTTTAAGAAGCTTCATTTAAAATTAAATTAAAATACAGAGCCCTCCGGACCGGTGGGCAGGACCCTGGGAGTGTGAGTGCCACTGAAAATCAGCTTGCGTGCTGCATTCGGCACGCGTGCCAGACGTTGCCTACCCCTGTGCTATAGAGTGACAGTTTCTTTACTTCTAGCAGCATTAAAACTGGAAAGTAAGAAGCATCCAGAAAAGGCTGTGACTTCTTGACTTTTTCCTCAGCCCTCAATCTTCTATTAATTCAGAGCCCTTCAGCAGTATCCCATAGGTCAAATCTGAAAGACCCCAAAACTGTCTGATCTCACTGAATCAACTAAGATCTAGTGCTGAAGCCACAACCATTAATACTGAATAGCTTTAAAAAAATCTCTTTATTTCACACCAGTAGGGGAATATCATTAAATCACAATCAAACTAGTTTTATTATCCTTTTTTAAATTTTGTTGAACATAACCAGTTTTCTAGATTATGGCCCTTCATATTAGTTCATGACCATTAAGTCTGCATCCATGGAGTTTTTTCCTGCTCATTTCAGGAGAGGTAGCTATTGCTTGCCGTGAACTAATTTTTTGTTCATATAACCTATCTGAATTCTGAAGCAGTTTGGACTTTTAAAGTGAGCTACTGGTGGTAATCATTCAAACTTCCCCTTTAAAGCTGGAAATTATATGTGAAGTAGTGTTTTCCCTTTCAAGTCTGTGGACTGGTCTACATCTGCATAGCTTCATCTCTTGAGGGTGTGAAAAACACACACACACACACACCCTCCCCCCCCACCCCCCCAGAGTGATGTATTTAAGCTGATTTACCTGCAGGTGTAGACAGCATTAGGTCAATGGAAGAGTTCTCCCATCAGCCTACCTACTGCCTCTCTGGGAGGGGGATTTCCTACACTGACAGCAGAACGCTTCTTATCAGCATAGGGAGCATCTTCATTGAAGTGCTATAGTAGTGCAGCTGCAACGCTGCAGTGTTTCAAGTGTAGGCAAGCCCTCAGGTAGGGGGATTACCTACGCTGCCAGGAAACCCCTGCCTGTCAGCATAGGTAGTGTCTACACTGAAGAGCTACTGCGAGGCAGATGCACTGCTGTAGCATTTTAAGGATAGATGAGCTCTGTGTAGCTAGGTCTGTCACACTTTTCTAAGAGCAAGGAAATCTCTAACTGTACTAGTTAGAAAGCTCATACTTAAAACTAAAGAGGATGGGATCTGTAATCAGCAATCCACCCTCAAAAATACTTCGGACTGTAGCAAGGGAGAAAAGTCATAGTAAATGTTTAGTGCATGTAAAAACCCAGCTAGCTCTTTGATGCTTGTTTTTCAGTTTCCAAATAGAAGACAGTCCTATCTAGCTGACTTCTTCAAGTAAGCGAGATTCAGGACCTAGCATTGAGCAGTTTTGGTTTTTTAGTTCTGGAATACATTTCTGCACCAAGAGGTGAAGTCTGTTGCAGCAGAACTGCAGAATGCATGGAGTCCTTGCTGTAGTGAAGTCTTAGATACTCTTGTGACAAGTGCTTTTTAAAAATGTGTATGAATGAATACACTTGTCTTAGTCACTGAAGGACTGCACTGCTGGCCATGCCCAAATGCAAAACCAGTAGCTCACAGATTCATATCAGCCAACACTGGGGGGAAAACGTAGCCTAGTCTAAAGTTGTATATATTGAAAGTAGGGTAGGTGCTGATTGTGCAGGGGCCCTTGGGGTGAGGAGCTGCCATGTTCTTCCTACACCCTGCAACCCACAACAATGGAGAGGAGCTGGAAACACTGTCATCACCAAGTACTGCTTCAATTACTACTGGTCCCTCCACCTATCCAGACACCTCCCCTCCCAATAATACTAATGACCCTTTGGAGCACTCACCTCT